CGAACTGGTGCCCAGATGGGATCCAGGTGCTTGCAAAGCGAGGATTTTAGCCACTGAGCCGTGGTACCAGGTCCTCTGTTTTTTGTAACCTGCCCTTGGCTTCCTGCATTTGGTAGCATGCAGTTTAGTGTCTCCCTCTAGAGGTCTCTTTTAGAACTAGCTGAGTGTCTCCATTGGAAGGAGGCAGGTCCTACGGCAGCACCAGTGGGTCCCTCCTGCTTCCCACCATGACCTCTGCCTTGGCTGCCCACAGCAGGAACGGGGGGTGAGGAGGGGTGTTGGGCATGGCTTCCAGCCCAGTTACACATGGTGATGATCTTGAGCTTGGGTCTCCTGGGCACACCCCCTTCTCCCAGAGTTTCTGATGCCCACTATGGCTGACCCTGACTGGTCAGGTGGCAGCCCACCAGGGAGGGAGGGGAGCTGGGTCTCTGTCCACCACACACTTGCCAAAATAAGTAAATCTCTAAAAACAAAACAAAACAAAACAAAACAAGACAAAAAACGGTGTGCCTGGTCTATCTATCCCTGGGGAGTGAGTGAGGATGAGGGCCTGGATTTCAGGGACATTCAGGTGATTAGACTGATACTTTTTTAAAAAGAGTTTTTAATTGTTATTTTTATTTGAAAGGTGGGTTTATTTGAAAGAGGAGGGACTGAGAGAAAGAGCTCTTCCATCCACTAATTCACTCCCCAAATGATCACAATGGCCAAAGCAAGCCAGTGATCTGAAGCCAGGAGCTTCTTCTGGGTCTCCCATGCAAATGCAGGGTCCCAAGGCTTTGGGCTGTCCTCGACAGCTTTCTGAAGGCATAAGCAGAGAGTTGGAAGAGAAATGGAACAGCTGGGACATGAACCAGCACCCATAGGGGATGCTGATGCTTGCAAGTGGGAGATTAGCCAGTTGAGCCATCTCACTGACCCCAGATTCATAAGTCTTGAAGAGGTTGAGGGAGGGAAAAGTAAGGAACACCAGATGCCAAGGTAGGGGGCGGGGCAAGTCAGCAGAGGCTGTTTGGGTAGGGCAGGGTCACTGGCCACACTGGCTTTACAGATCCTGGAGGGCTCTGGGCAGAGGTGTCCTGGCAGGAAACTCTGGGATCTGGGGCCAGGAATTGGGAAAAGTCTGCAAGGAACACTCCCCAGAAGTATGATCGGAGAGCAGGAAAGGGCCTTGGACAGGGCCCAGGAATGAACATTTCAGGATCAAAAAGGAAGAGGAGCCCACCCAAGAAATGGAGGGGACCTAGGTGGGCAAGAGCGTGGGCAGTGCAATCACCTGCCCTGCTGGAAGGCCAGGCTCAAGGCTGGGCCTGGACTGCCTCCTCCGGGAAGCCTTGGGACCCTCAGCCCTGGGAAACAGGCTGAGCCCCGAACACCCATAGCGCTCCAGTTGAGGAGCCATAGGCAGAGCAAGTGTGTGGTCCAGGAATTCCTTGGGAGTTGGGGCCCACACCCCACCATCCTGCTGGTCCCCATGCCCTTGGGGGTGGGTGGGGTGCAGGGAACTGGCCCTGAACGCTCCCCAGAGCCTCCCAGAGGAGCTGAGATGCTGCTGTCACTCACTCTGCCTGTCAAAATCATTCCATCAATCAGATTAGGCTGAACATGGCTGGGAGGGATGTGGAGGTGGGCCAAGACCATGGGACATGGTCAAGTCTGGCTGACTGGTCTTCCGCACTAGTGCAGTTGACTCAAGGCTGTGGGCCGTCCTCTATTGCTTTCCCAGCCCACAGGCAGGGAACTGAATAGGAAGTGGAGCAGGTAGGATCCTGGAGCAGGTAAGGCAAGGATTTAGCCATTGAGCCATCACACTGGGCCCAGCTCTCCTTTGAAGAACCTGAATGGAGACTGGTCCAGCGCATGAAGCTGTGACCTCCAACACCAGCATCCCAGATGAGTGTGAGTTCAAGTCCCCGGCTGCCCCACTTCCCATCCAGCTTCCTACTACAATGCCTGGGACAGCAGTACAAGATGGCCCCAAACTATCTGGGTTGCCACCCACATAAAGGGAATTGCCTTCTGTACTTCTAGCTTTAGTGCCCACCCAGTCCCCTGGCATGGTCCGCATTTGGAAAACAAACCGGTAGATGGGATCTTTCTGTCTCCCTCTTGAATAAACAAATAACAAACACCAAGCCACCTCCACCTGCTGTTGCCTGTAGCTTTCTCACCCTACTGCTTTGCTGTGAACATTTGGCACTGTGTCATTACTGACTTGGTGTCATTGGTTGTCCACGAGAATGTTGGCTCCGTAAAGGCAAAGAGCTCTTGGCTGTATGGTCCAGGGCACGTGCAGTGCCCACATCGTGGCTGGCACACACCCAGTGAGTAACACTAAAAACGAGACTGCAGGTGGGGCATGGAAAGGGCCCTGGCTAGGGGCTCCTGAAGCTTCTTTGGGCTTCCTGTCCCTCAAGTGGTGCTCTTAGGCACCCAGGGCTTGGTACACATGGGCACAAACACAACTCGAATTGCAAACAGGTGCCCTGGACAGTCTAATGCAGGATCCCACTATACACTCACGGTGACCCCGGAGGCAGGCAGAGTCCCTGTTACTGAGGCCAGGAAGGAGGCGTGCCGAGGCGCAGAAGGGTCCCGGACCGGGGCTACATTTCCCAGGAGCAGCTGTCTTGGCCCTGCGACTCATGGGTTGTTAAAGGGCCTGGCCCCCAGGGCGGCGGCGGCGAGTGCGTGGGGGTTGGAGGACCGGTCAGATGTCCCCCGAAGCTCCTAGCTCTGCATTGCCCGTGAGGCGAGGTCTCACCATCCTGGAGGCAGCTGTCCTCATCCTTCCCCCAATTCGCGGGCCCCCTACCTCACACTTCCTTTTCAATCCACCCCTTCCACCGCCACCTCCGGAGAGGCAGGGAGTGGGGAGACTAGACCGCTGTGGCCGGTGTTGCCGGAGAAGGGATGTAAGTGGCTGGGACCCCCGTGACCTGAGCCCACCCCTCCCCCATTCTCTTCTGCAGTTCAGGGAAAGAATTTGCCAGAGGCTGGGAGGGGCCGGGATCCTGGCTGTGATAGTCTCAACGTGCAATGAAGGTTGGGGTCCCTGAGACTCCTGGGGTGGCCACTCCAATCCATCCTTCCCAGTCTGGCGCTCTCCATGGCGAAGGGGGCAGGGTGCTGGAGTAGCAATCATCAGGTTCCCAGGAACCTGCAGGAGGAACACTTTGCAAGCAGTAAGGTACTGTGCAGAATCCCCACGCACATGGCCCAGGATCCATTCAGCACTTAGTCTGAGATTCGCTGGACACTGAGCCGTGAGGGAGGTGCCAAACTCTGGGGGTGCAGGGCCAACATCCCCCGTGTAGGAGTGGCTATGTGGGTGCAGCTTTCCCTACCCACTTCTTTTGGGGAACCCTGGGGTATCGTTTCTGATCAGTACCAAAGCAAACCTACCAAACTCACCTGGCCCTTGATGGTTCCCCTTGCTGGCCAGTGCCACCGGGGTCATGTAGGATTAATTCATCCTGTGTATGAGTATTTGTGGGACCTTGTTATTTTGCTTAAGCCTTGGAGACCCAGGGGTCCAGTAGTATCTGCACGACCCCCCCACTAGGACTCTCTCCCTACCCAAACCTCCTCCCTTCTCTTCAGGCTACTTTGTCAGCAAACAGTTCCACTGACCAGTCCAGCTATAGCCCCTTTTGACCACCCGCAGCTCCTGGCCAAGGCTCATTGTATAAAAAGTGGCAGGTAGTCTTGCTTAAGGAATAAAAATAGTGTGTTGTTGTGGAAGGGGGCCCAGGGGGCAGGTACCCCTGAACCCTCAGCCCAGGGCTGATGCCAAGAGGAACCCAGCACTTGTGAAAGGAGATCTGTCACAGGCCAGGGGTTTCTGAAGTTCCCCCACTTTGAGTCCAGAACTCCCCAGGACGCGTGCTCCTGGTCACTTCCGCCGCACATCCGCCTTTGAACAAAATGGTAGCAGTGGGGCCAAGGCAGTGTGGGAACACACTTGGCAAAGTGATTAGTATTTTGGAACGGCTCCCTCCCAGTACACTCCACTTTCAAAGGGCCTTGTGCGTGGACTGGGGGCTGAACCCCCCAGGCTGGGCCTCAGGGTGGAGGTGCAGCAAGCTCTATTTCTGACACCCCCAAACTGTCAGACTAAGGAAGGCATGTAAATGAATTCCTGGCTAGGATAAATGTGAAATGGGGGCGGGCTATGAGAGGAGCCACCCATAAGACCCCTCTTCACCCTTCAAGGGACCCAGGCAGCACCGGGGGTTCCACCTTAGAAGGGGTCCTCTCTTGGAGCGCGGAAGGGCAAGCAACGACAGGAGAGGGGGAAGGGCCGAAGTTTAAAAGTAGCTTTCCAACTCTGCCAGGGAATTTTTTCCTGAGGGACCCCATGGACAGAAAGAGGGTAGAGATGCAGGGAAGATGGTAGTGGGGTGTCCCCGGGGAGGTGATGGGACCCCAGGGGAGCGACCCTTCCTCGTGTCCCAGCTCAGCCCGGCTGGGAGTCGCCCAGCTCGGGGCGGTGTGTGTTAGTTGGGGTCCCTTTTCAGCCGTCCTGCCGGCCTGGGGGACCCCGCAGCGAGTCGGGAGCCGGGTCCCCCGGTAGCCCCAGGAGGGAGGTTTCCTACGAGGGGTTTCCCACAGTCAAGCTTCCCCAGCCCGCGGACCCAGCCCCGGGCAAAAGGGCAAAGTGCCGGCGCATCCACCGTCTTCGGCGCCGTTCGGGGCTCGCGGCGGGCGCGGGGGGCGGCAGCCGGGCCGGCGGGCGGCCCATTGAGGAAGGCCAGAGAGCGGGGCAGCGGCCCGGGGCGGTAGCGGGGAGCAGGGAGGCTCAGGCCGGTGGCAAAGGTTGGATTTGCCGGACAGAAGAAACACAGATGGCGGCGGCGCAGCGCCATTCTGGGCCGGGAGCAGGCAGCCAGAAGCCCTGTCCTCACCGCGGTCCGCCCGCCGCCGCTAAATACCCGGATGCGCCGCCCGAGCGCCAGACGCGAAGCTGGGAAAAGGGGAAGCCGAAGAGGCGGAGACAGGCAGGCGGGCGGGCGGCTGAGCCCGGGGACAGAGCGGCGGGGCTGGGCCGGGCCACCCGGAGCCCCCCTGGGACGCGCGCCTAGGGCGCATAGGCACCGACCTCCCCACGGCCAGTCGGAGCCCCCACCATGACCGAAAACTCCACGTCGGCCCCCGCGGCCAAGCCCAAGCGGGCCAAGGCTTCCAAGAAGTCCACGGAGCACCCCAAGTATTCGGACATGATCGTGGCCGCCATCCAGGCCGAGAAGAACCGCGGGGGCTCCTCGCGCCAGTCCATCCAGAAATACATCAAGAACCACTACAAGGTCGGGGAGAACGCAGACTCGCAGATCAAACTGGCCATCAAGCGCCTGGTCACTACCGGTGTCCTCAAGCAGACCAAAGGGGTCGGGGCCTCGGGGTCTTTCCGCCTGGCCAAGAGCGACGAGCCCAAGAGGTCGGTGGCCTTCAAGAAGACCAAGAAGGAAGTCAAGAAGGCGGCCGCGCCGAAGAAAGCCACCCCCAGACCCAAGAAGGCGTCCTCCAAAAGCCCGAGCAGGAAACCCAAAGCGACTCCAATCAAGAAAGCCAAGAAGAAGCCGGCCAGCGCTGCTGCGGCGCCCAAGAAAGCCAAAAAGCCCAAAGCGGTCAAGGCCAAGCCGGTCAGGGCGGCCAAGGCCAAGAAGGCCAAGCCGGTGAAGCCCAAAGCCAAGTCCAGTGCCAAGAGGGTCGGCAAGAAGAAGTGACAGCCCTGTCGCTGCCAGTGGACCCTCCTCCCCACCTCTTGTAAATACTCCCTTCTCTCTTACTCTCTCCTGCCCCCCTCAACCCTGTACCCCCCTTTCTATTCTGACTTCATCAAAGACAGCACTGAGAGTCCTTCCTTTCTCCTTAGCTGGTTGTGAATAACAAGGAGTCTGAGTCTGGATTTGTTATGGATCCAACTGGTTTTTGGGGGGTGGCAGGGGTGGGTGGCTTTGTGGGGTTTTGTTTTCAGCCAGGGAGGTAGGTACAGGGGTTGCTACAGGAGGGAGAGTCCCCGGGAGCTGGGGCTCTCAGGGGAGCGCCGCACTGGGAGAGTTTGGGAACCTTTGGCCGGGAGCCAGAGCCGAGGCAGCAGTGCAAAACCCAGGAAGGACGTGCAAAACTCCCTCTGCCTCCTGCCTGGCTGCCTCCCCGAGCAGAGCAGCTTGGGGTCCCACGCCGCACTTCCCTCCCCTTGCCTTAGCCGCCCTCCCAGTGTCTTAGGGAAGGGGAGGGGTAGACCAGGGGCAGCTGGCACTCACCCTGGGGGGAGGGGGCTGTCTTTGTGGCTTGGGGCCAGTGGAAACTTTGGGGGAAGGGTAGGGAGTCCGCCCGCCCAGTGCCTCAGTGAGCCCTGGGGGACTTGGATTTTTCCACGTAGTTTGTAGATTGTGTCCTGGGAGGACTTTTGCTTTTCCTTGTCCCCCCACCCCCCCGCCCCACACTCTATAAAAGGTGGCTTTGCTTAAGTGTTCTGGCCAGGTCTTTTCACTTCCCGAAGTCTTGTAGGTTGCGGTGGAGAGGGGTGAGGGAGGGGAGTCCCCAGGAGACCTGTCGCCTGTGACTTTGTTTCCCGTTGTCCCGCAGAGCTAGGGGTGTGTGTGTGTGTGTGTGTGTGTGTGTGTGTGTGTGTGTGTGTGTGTGTACATGGCTAGACTTTGTCGTGCACATCAGGAGCTGGGAGAAAAAAAATTTGTACAGACGTCTTTCCCTTATTTTAATAAAATAGGAAGATCGCACAGTTGCGCGTTTCCCCCTCTTCCAACCCTACCCCCCCCTTTTTTGTTGTTGGAACAAGTGTTATTTATGCCCGGAATATTTTGCTGTCTTTGTAATTTTAAAACTTTAAAATAAAATTGAGAAAGCATAAAAGCCAGATTGGTGCGTTTTCCCTTCTATTTGGAGGTCCCGGCGCACGCCGGGGAGTTCTCTGGGCGTTTGCACCTGAGAGTGGGGGAGGGAGCCGAGAACGCGACAGGAACCGGAAAGCCTCCGGCGGACTGCAACCGTGGGGGTCCTAAGGACAGCCATGCTACTTGGGCCACGCGGCAGTCGACTGGGGCGGGAAGAGTGGGGGGCTGGGCTGGGACGCTAGGGCCTCCCCCTGTACCCGCCCCGACGTCCCCAGTCTCCACTGGCCAATCGGTTCACTTTGGGCCCCGCCCAGCCCGGCCCTCCTTCCTCGCCCCTTCAGCAGCCCCTAGCTCGCATTGGTCGGCCGGGACCGGCCCCCACGCATCACGCGGCCGCCGTGCGCTCGGCTGCACGGGCCTGTGCGGAGTGGCGGCAGCGATGTGGTCCGGTGGCGCGTGGCGCGCCGCGCTCTCTCGGGTCCCCTGCGGCCGCCGCGCGCAGTCGGCGCAGGCCCGGCTGCGGGACATCCTGGAGAGGGAGCTGGAGGGGATCCGCGACGCTGGCACCTGGAAGAGTGAGCGGGTCATCACTTCGCGCCAGGGGCCGCACATCCATGTGGACGGCGTCTCCGGAGGTAGTGCCTTCTCCTTCCTCCCGGGAAGCGGCCGCCCTGTCCTCTGCTGTTCTGGGGTCCGTGCCGGATGTCGGGAGGCCAGGCTGGCGCAGGGACGCTGGTCCTTGAAAGTGGGCTCGGGGCGGGGCAAGCGGCATCTGCTTTCATCGCGCCCGGTCCTGTCCCGCTTACACTCGCTGGGTTAACTGGTTAAACCCGTCTCCACAGAGGGAGGGAATCTGCCCTTGGGTGCCTTTAGGCGGTTAGGTGGGGTCTGAAGATACACTCAGGTCTTAAGCGGCCTCCACAAAGAGGTCTGGGAAGTTATCCCACAGCTGCTGACCAGCTGCTGGGCTGAACAGGGCACTCCTGCTCCAGCCCAAGGGTGCAGAAACACGACCAGGCGGAGGTAAGCCCTAGGCAGCCTCAGGCAGCCCCAGGCAGAGCTGGCATACTGGAGCTGCAAGGTCCGCCTCCCACCTAGCCAGGGAGGTCAGGTGCCTGGCCCTCTCTGTAGGTGAGGGTCCAGGACTCTGCCGGGATCCCAGGCACCATCACAGCTCCATCGTTTTTTTCTGACCTGTAGTCACTGCCTGGCTTACCTGTGGGTTCTGGTCATTCCCAGGCCCCCAAAGCTGCGGGATCTTGGGGTCACATGTGCTCAGAGGCACCCCTTTGGACTGAGCCCATTGGATGCCAGGCAGCCATGCCCCCTTGTGCAGTCCGGGCACCTGACCCAGCCTTCTTGGATCAAACCAACCTGGGGAGTGAGGGTGGTTTTTGGAGACAGGAGAAACCTGCGGGGAAGACCAGATTCCTGCTCCGGGAGAACAAGATTCGAAGCCAGGGGACTAGCTGCTCGCAGTGGAGCTGTTGGCTCAGGGATCTCTGGCACCCCCACCCCTGTCATGGTCTCTGTCCGTGAATACATCGTTGCTGTTACATCGTTGCTGCCCTCTTGGAGGTGCATTCGGAGTCCTTTAGCCCCTGTGCCATTTCCCCAGGGCCTGGCACGCAACTCTGTGGAGGCCCTTGCCATGCCACAGCTGCCATGTGCCTCTCTTCTTCATTCCCAGGAATCTTGAACTTCTGCGCCAACAATTATTTGGGCCTGAGCAGCCACCCCCAGGTGATCGAGGCGGGTCAGCAGGCTCTGGAGGAGTTTGGAGCTGGCCTTAGCTCCGTCCGCTTCATCTGTGGCACACAGGTACCCGGAGGGGGTGAGGGTGCAGGCACGACCCCAGCCGTCAACTTTCCCGGAGCAGCGAGCGCTGGTTTGGCCAGTTCAGCTCAGCTCATCCCAGGACTGTAAGCTCAGCATAAGCACCAGAGCTGCTTTCTAGAAGGGCTGGGTGTGGGCTAAAATCTTTACCTTCCTGAGCATCTCAAATTCTACCTGCAGAACACCTGTCACTCTTGGAGGATAAAGGGGTTGGAAGCAGGATCAGGTTGGAGGTTTCTGGAACTGTTTTCTAGAGCTCTGTTCCCATGCTGCTGTGTTACTGTGGGCAAGTGTCTTTACCTCTCTGGTCTAATGGAGGGTAACAGCAATCATCAGAGTGATTACAGATGGAAGAGAATAGCGCTTGGCCCACCAGAATTCTCCACAAATGTTCCTGTTCTTGCTCTGTAAATGTTACCAGATAACTTGTATGAAGCCTAAGGCTGATGTGCTAGTACCTGCCAAGTATCCTTTGGAGAAGGTTCTAGGTGTGAGGCAAGCATTCCATGCTGCTGCTAAGACCACATCTGAGTGTATGGTGTGAGTCCTGGATCCATGTCCAGTTCCAGCTTCCTGCTAATGCACACCCGACCCCCAGATGGGAGGCCCAGAGGATGCTCCAGGCTCTAGGCTCAGCCCTGCTGTTGTTGTGGGTGTCTGGGGAGTAAAACTGGATGTCAGAGAAAAGGAGAAACAGAAAGATCTTCTGTCTGCTGGTTTGCTGGTTCACCTCCCAAGCGGCCACAGTGGCCAGAGCTGAGCCATTCCGAAGCCAGGAGCCTCCTTCAGGTCTGCCACATGGATGCAGGGTCCCGAGGCTTTGGGCCGTCCTCTACTGCTTTCCCAGGGACAAGCAGGGAGCTGGATGGGAAGTTGAGCACCCAGGATACAAACCGGCACCCATATGGGATCCCAACACGTGAAGGGGCAGTATTAGCCTGTTAAGTCATTGTACTGTGCCCATGCTGGTCACATCCCTATTACTGAGACGACAAGAAGGCCCAGAGAGGTTAAATGGCTTGCCTGAAGGCACACAGCCTACCATGGTGGGATTTGGCAGTGGGTAGTGGACTCAAGGGCCTCGTTCCCAAGTCCTTGTGGGTTTTATCCTATTGGCAAGAGGATAAAATGAGTCTCCTGACTCCCAGCCTAGCTGCCTGCCTGCTGGAGGGTTCAGCTCTCAGGCCTAAGAATGAAGGCCACGTCAAGTCTTGGGCAGTGCAGCTCCCTGCCCAGCCCATGGCCTGCCCACACCTGGACCTGAGACCTCCTGTGGCCAGTGGAGATCCACCAGGAGGGGGAGCTCGTGTGTAGTGGGAGCCTGCCCCACCACCTTAAGCCAGCTCAGGGGTGATGCTGTGGTTCCCACCTTTCAGATGTAGCTGGGATGTGGCCCTCCAGACTTCTGTTCCCAGAAGGGTCCTGCCAGGGCAGTCACACCTACCTGTCATACCTTGTTCAGAGCATCCACAAGGACCTGGAAGCCAAGCTAGCCCGCTTCCACCGGCGGGAGGACACCATCCTCTACCCCAGTTGTTTTGATGCCAACGCCGGCCTCTTTGAGGTTTGTGGGGAGATGGGCAGGGTTGCTGGACTGTGGAAGGCCTGGGGCTGGGTGGGCGGGATGCGAGTACCATGCTCCAGGGCCTGTTTCTTCTGGAGATCAAAATTGGGCCAGCTAGCTGCTGCAGGAGAAATTCCGGGGCTTACAAGGAGCTCTGCCTCCAGAACATTGAAAGGTTCGCTTTCATCAGCTGGAAGGCTGCGGCCTGGAACCCACCAGGCCTGGGGTCACCTGTCCTCCAGTCCTGAGACCCTGGGGACCCAGTTAGAGACAGAGGTCCCCTGGCCTCCCTGCTCAGAGAACCACCCCAGCACCTCATGGTGGTTGACTATACCTGTCCCACCTCCTTCTAGGCCCTGCTGACCCCGGAGGATGCAGTCCTGTCAGATGAGCTGAACCATGCCTCCATCATTGATGGCATCCGACTGTGCAAGGCCCACAAGTATCGCTACCGCCACCTGGACATGGCCGACCTAGAAGCGAAGCTGCAAGAGGCCCAGGTCCGGGCTAGGGCCCCTCTAGGTTGCAGGGTCAGGGACCAGAAGGGCAGACTCCCCCTGCTGGAGGCAACGAGGCTTGCAGTAGCTGACTCAACCTGAGAGTTAGAGGTTGCCAAAGCAGGAAGTCAGAGCCCTCCGGCTAGGGCTGCATCCCATTGCTCCATGCTGCCTGGAGTTTGGCAAATGCCCTTGAGGTGGCAGGTGCCTGGCTGGGCATACACACGGGCTAGGTATGTGGCTGGACTTGGCTTTAGCCTGCGCCCTAGGACCTGACATGAGACTGTGAGACCTGCTTCCTGCCCAGGGTGAAGTATTGTGTACACAGCCCTGGGAGATTTGGGGAGGGCTGAGACAGGCACAGGAGAGGGAGAGATTGCCCAGGCGTAAGGCGGTTGTTTCTGTGCTGGGCCCTGGGTAGAGTCTCAGACACATAAAGGAACTGTACTTTGACCCCACCTACCTACCACCTCTTTGTATCCTTCCTGCAGAAGCATCGGCTCCGCCTGGTAGCCACCGATGGGGCCTTCTCTATGGACGGCGATATCGCGCCCCTGCAGGACATCTGCCGCCTCGCCTCTCAGTACGGTGCTCTCGTCTTTGTGGATGAGTGCCACGCCACGGGCTTCCTGGGGCCCACGGGACGGTGAGCGAGCGTGGCATCTGAAGCCAGGTGGGAGGAAGGGCAGGTGGACAATCAGTGGCGGTGACAGTGGTGGCTTCTCTTTCCAGGGGCACAGATGAGCTGCTGGGCGTGATGGACCAAGTCACCATCATCAACTCCACCCTGGGGAAGGCACTGGGTGGAGCATCAGGTGCTGCAGCTTCCTGTGCCCGGGACCCTTTACCCACATGCAGTGCCCCAGAGATGGTGGGGTCTCAGGAGGTTGGGAAGGACAGGCCCGGGCTGCCTGGAAGAGGGCCTGGGGTCCCCTCTGGCTCGTGACCACTCCCCCTCTACCTCTTGTTCCTAGGGGGCTATACCACGGGGCCTGCGCCACTGGTGGCCCTGCTGCGTCAGCGTTCCCGGCCATACCTCTTCTCCAACAGTCTGCCTCCTGCTGTCGTCGCCTGCGCCTCCAAGGCCCTGGACCTGCTCATGGAGAACAATGCCATCGTCCAGTCTATAGCTGCCAAGACCCAGCGGTGCGGCTCCTGGCACCCCTAGTTCCTGTGGGCGCCCACAGGCGGGAGCTGTGGGCAGGACCTCCAGGGGCCTTAGCTCCATGCCTGTTCCCTGCCTGCCCACCACTCTTACTCCATGCCCTGCCTCCCTCATCAGTCTGCCTTCCTACATGCCCTGTCTCTGGTGCTCCCACCCCCCCCCAGCGGGCTTGGGCACAAAGCTGGGTGGCTTCCCATTAGGAGTGGATAGGATTAATTGCTGCCTGGTCCCCCTGCCACCAGCTGCCTATGACCTCCAGCTGTGTCCACAGGTTCCGCAGCAAGATGGAGGCAGCTGGATTTACCATCTCAGGCGTCGCTCACCCCATCTGCCCTGTGATGCTGGGGGATGCCCGGCTAGCGTCCCGCATTGCCGACGACATGTTAAAGAGAGGTAAGGGTGCCAGGAGGACTGGCAGTAGGGCTGAAACAAGAGCGAGGGAAGCCGCTAGGCCAAACATTCTCCCACCCTGCTGTGTGCTCCGTGGCTCACAGGAGAGTAGGGGGTGATGTGTTGTTCTCCCAAGCCCAGCCGGCCCCCACATGCCCTGGCTCCCCCTCTTCCAGGAATCTTTGTCATCGGGTTCAGCTACCCTGTGGTCCCCAAGGGGAAGGCCCGGATCCGGGTGCAGATCTCAGCAGTGCACAGCGAAGAGGACATTGACCGCTGCGTGGAGGCCTTCCTGGAGGTGGGACGGCTGCACAGGGCGTTGCCCTGAGCCCTGAGTCCCAATCCCAGGACCAGAATGGTCTGAAGCTGGTGCGAGTGTGAAGCAACAGTGTGAAAATGATGATGCTGATGCTCCATGTGCTTTGTCCCTGATGAGCGTGCCCAGTCCTGTGGAACCGGGTGGGAGCTGGGTCCTGGAGGGCAGTCTCCCGGGGTCTGGGGAGTTAAGCGCTGATCCCATCCTCGAGGCAAGGTGCCGCCCCAGGCAGAGGGGAGGGAGTGCAGGAGCTGCAGGTGAGCCCCAGCCCACCGTCCCTGCCTGGTGAGCAATTCCTCCTTTATTCCCCACCTGCACAGACAATGCTGGGACCCCCAAACCCACCTGACAGGAGAGGCAGAGGGTCAAGAAAGAACATGCACCCCCACTTCCTGACAATTAGCCAGGAAAGGAAGCGGACGGAAGGGTTCCAGTGCTGGAGATGGAGCTGCCCGCTATCTTCCCCTGGTTAGGGAAGAGGGAGGGGGAAGGAGGGAGCCTGATCCCCTCTCTGCTCAACCGTGTGGGCTCCGATGCAGTTGAGGTGGGAGCAGGCAGTGGATTTTGAGTCACGGCCTCTTCATGATGTGGCCTTGGTGAGGGCGGCATTTGCTTGGAGCTGAGCAGGGAGAATAACAAAGGCCCTTTCTCGTTAAGGACTGGAGGCCGGGCCCACATTTCTGACCCCCCCTGTGGCCCGATCTCCAGGATTTTACAGCTGGGATTCTCAGAATCCAGTCTATCAGCTGGAGAACATTAAAACTAGGGTACAAGGAGCATGTGGGGGAGGGGGTAGCCATGGCCACATCAGCTGCAGGTGCGCTGCTACATGGGGGTGCCAGACAGTGCCAAGCCAGCAACTTGATGTGGGTGGTTCCTGCGGGCTGGCAGGTCATGCCCAGTGGCCACAAACACCCACAGGACAATGTCATGTCGCAGCTAGTGTGACAACCCAGCGGGGCCAGAATACCTGGCCCAGGTCCTCCCAGGAGACATGAGGCTGCATGAGGCCAGGTCCACCAGTGACAGGTACCGCTGTTGGTTGCATCCCCTGTGAGCAGTGCTGCCATTCCTGAGCCAGGCAGCCGCGGTAGTGCTCCCCACCAGCCACCAGCTCCCGGCTCAGGGTCCCTGCTGCACCCAGCAGCCTCTCGGGGCACACTTGGGAGGCCTGGGACGCACAAACCCTATAGTCATACGAGCCTAGGGCTGGCTGCAGATCAGCTGCGGGTCTGCATCTTGCCAAGCCCACAACTCTGAGAGACCTACTGCCAGGGCGTGCCCTCTGTGTTCAGTCATGGGCACCAGGAGTAATGGCAGGAGGTGGCAGCAAGGATGTGCCCATGCTCCAGCCAGGACTGCTGTCTGGTCGCCTCTGCCCTCCTCCCTCACCTCCACACCAGTGTCAGCTCAGCCTTGCCAGGCACTTGCCTATTCTTTGTCTTGGTACTGCCAGTGCCCACCCTCCATGTGAGGAAAAACTCGGGGGCTTCTAAGAGGTGGGAGAACTGGGTATGACTATAGTTCTTCAGGAATTTTGGGCTCCTGCCTGGAACTCGGGACACCCCCCTACACCCAGTGGTTCCCACTCCGTCGAGTAGGTAGGTAGTCTATCTCCCCATGGGTAGTGTTGTGGGGGGTCTAGGTCTGATTTCCAATACCCTCTAAGCTTCCCAGCATGCTGTGGGCACTGACGTCATGGCCAGGGTCCACTTCCTGGGAGCCTTCTCCCCAGCTCCCCGGGGATGCCAGTGCTGCCCCCGTAATGCCTCCTCCCCTGGCTTTAGCTTTTGGAAGGGCTGTGAATTCTGTCCCTACCTCTCTTTCTCCTTAGCTGGCCACAGGTTGCTTTTTTTTTTTTTTTTGGAAAGGTGGATTTTCAGAAAGGAGACAGAAAGATCTTCCACCTGCTGTTTCATTACCCAAATGGCCGCAACGACCAAAGCTGAGCCAATCAGGAGCCAGGAGCTTCATCCAGGGATTTGGGCTTTTGGCTGTCCTCTACTGCTCGGCAGGGAGGCTGCCTTTTGTTCCTGCTTCCCTTTCCACCTTGCTAAACCTAGTGATTAAACACCAACTGATGGGTTCCCTATGTTGGCTTATTCCTCCAAAAAGTTCAAGGCCAGAAGCCCCCCACCGAGCCACACAGCCATGGGCCTAGATATATCTCGATCCCCCACCCCAACTCTACCCACTGCCACGAATATGCTTCTTACAAAACATACAAAAAAAAGGCAACATACAAGTCACATCCCTGTCTAGAACCTTCACTAGCTCCGTTTCCCTCAGACTAAAGCCAGCATTGTTGAATCCCTAGGAGAAGTCTGCGTATGTGGAGATTCAAATCCTGATTTCCCCACCTAGAAAACCCCAATCGAGACTGGGCAGTGTCTCTGCTTGCCTCAGGGAGAATGGGGCAGAGGCCTCAGGCTAGGGATGAGCTGGGCTGCGGATACGCAAGGGTTAACCACAAAGCCGATCTCTGCGAGCCAGATCAATGGGTTACTCCTAGCAGAGAAAGGAGCCGCGGCATCTAGGACAGCAGAGGCAGAGGGGAGCCAGGCAGGGGAGCAGCCTATGCCTCCTCCCCTGCTCTGCCCCAGGGGAAATCGGGAACCCAGAGGCGGTGGCAGGAGGGCCTGCGTGGGCTCATCTGAGCAGGCCAGAGGGGAGGAGGGCTCTCCAAAGCTAAGAAGTAAGCACAGAGCACGGCTTAGCCTAGCTGCTGAGCTGGGAGGCAGCCCCAGCCAGTCGACCCAGCATCCGGCAGGGGCCCAGCGCCCTGGGCTGAGGTAGGTATGGCCCACCCTGTGCCTGCGGGGGGAGTTGGGGAGAGGACTGGCTGCATGCTGGGTGCTATGGAGGGGACAGACTGCCTCCCCTGCCTGCTCACTGTTAGGCTCTCCAGGCCCCTAACTTGTCCCTACCCTTCTCCGAAATCCCCGGCAGACAAGGGGATCCACAGGTGGCAGCCAATGAGGGCAGGGTGAGATGTGGCACTGTGCACACAGGTGCCCCATGTTCATACACACACACATACATGGGTTGTCAGGGTACACATGTGCACACATGTATATATGGGTTGGCAGGGTGCACACAAATTGTCAGTGTATACACGTACACACACACACACAGTTGTCCGAGTCATCCCTGTTACTGTCCCTCAGACTCGCCCTCCAGCCCAGGGTGGAATGAGGCTGGCAACCCCAGGTCTGCCCCTTCCAGTGTGCCTGCTCCCTCTGGGCCTCGGGTTCCCAATGTTTGAGAGAAGAGTGGGGGCCCCTGTGTGGGTTTCCCAGCTTTGCCATCATAGGAACTATCACCAAACTGGGCTCTGCCCTGACACAGGGCTGGCACCTGTGCTTTGCTAAGGCCACAGCTTATCACCAGAGTCCTGCAGCTGTTTCTAAGGGTCATTCCGGGCTGAGGTCCCACTGAAAATTCCAGAAAATAAAGCAGCTCTTGGTGGTGGAGTTGCCCCTCCCCCAGTTGCCTGCATTTTCCCCTGCCTCTTGGGTTTAAGGTGTCCCACAAGTACCTACGCAGCCCCCAAGCCTCAGGGTATGATGGTGTTGCCTAGGAAACCAGGACAGCCTCTCACGACACCCCATCCACTCATCCACTCCCCCACACACGAGCAAGGGCTCACGTGTGACCTTCCTCTTCTCTCCCATGAACTGGGGACACCTGGCCAGACCAGGGTTGGCAGCCAGTGGGGGAGGGAAACCAAGTGCACCCGCTTGAGGGCTCCAGTTTCTCTCCCCCAGGTACCCATCTGATGGGGATATGGCGGACGCCCAGAACATGTCGCTGGAGAGCCCAGGGAGTGTGGGGGCTGTGACGGTGCCCGTGGTCTTCGCCCTCATCTTCCTCCTGGGCACGGTGGGCAATGGGCTGGTGCTGGCAGTGCTGCTGCAGCCTGGCCTGAGCGCCTGGCAGGAGCCAGGCAGCAGTACCGATCTGTTCATCCTCAACCTGGCTGTGGCCGACCTCTGCTTCATCTTGTGCTGCGTGCCCTTCCAGGCCACTATCTACACACTGGATGCCTGGCTCTTCGGGGCGCTCGTCTGTAAGGCTGTGCACCTGCTCATCTACCTCACCATGTACGCCAGCAGCTTCACACTGGCTGCCGTCTCGGTGGACAGGTGCGCTGTGCCTTGGGGCTGGGCCAGGGGAGGAAGACACAGACAGGTTGTCACTGGCCTAAGGAAGCAGAGAAGGAGAGACAGAAGAAGGGAAAGGGTGTGTGAAGGGGGGACCCTTAGGCCTTTGAAGCCAGGCTCTGGGCATCTGCGGGGCATGCTTGGGAGAGGGGCTCTCCTGCCCTCCCTCCCCTCCCCTCCACTAGACGTTTCCAGAAGGTGTCTTTGTGTCTCGGGCATCAGCACAGGGCCAGGCACCAGGCAGGTGTTCCATAAAGGAACATTCTGGAATGCAACCATCAGGTGTTTTATCCCATCAGCGCTAGGTTGTATTCACACCTCCCTCCGTGGCTCCAACCCAACTGCCTCTTCAGCCCATGAGTTTGGCCAGGCAAGTCACTTCTCTCTGAGCTTCCTTTAACTTCCTTGTAAAATAAGCCCATCAGCATCCAACAGCGATTCGACCACTGCTAGGAGCTGGGTAGATAACTGCTCCAGGCACACCACCAGTGCTTAACATCCTCAGTCCTCACCACCAGACCACCCCATGGGGCCACAGGTGCTTGAGGGCAAGTGGTCACTGGCGCTGGGGAGGGCGCTTCCCGCCACTGCGCTGACCCGGTGCCCAATCCCTGCTCCGCAGGTACCTGGCTGTGCGCCATCCCCTGCGCTCGCGGGCCTTGCGTACGCCACGCAACGCTCGCGCCGCTGTGGGTCTCGTGTGGCTACTGGCGGCGCTCTTCTCAGCGCCCTACCTCAGCTACTATGGCACCGTGCGCTATGGCGCACTCGAGCTCTGCGTGCCCGCCTGGGAGGACACGCGCCGGCGCGCCCTCGATGTGGCTACCTTTGCGGCCGGCTACCTGCTGCCGGTGGCCGTGGTGAGCCTGGCCTACGGGCGCACGCTGCGTTTCCTATGGGCCGCTGTAGGCCCCGCGGGCGCGGCG